ACAAGAAGAATAATGGAAACTAGAACATTGTATGATTTAATTTCCTATTGAAAAAAATTTGAGAAAAACCACTGCAAAACCTTATAGCAAACACTTGGAAAATAAACTGAGGAGTGACTTGCATGCTCAGTGAGGCTATGCACTGATAACCTACCACCTTTATTCACTCAACAGACATACACAGAGCATCTTCTGTCTGCAGAACTGCGCTAAACACCAAGTGCAGACAGGAAAAAGGCAGCCCCTGTGCTAAGGAGTCCTAGCACAGCAGAGGAGACCAGCAAACAGAAGATGACAGCATCCATGCACAGCGGCACCATGAGGAATAGAAAACCACTGCTAGAGCACTGAGGACAGAGGGATTCCAACCCAACCTGCAGGAGTGCGGGGGTGGGTGGGGGAAGCTTCCCAGGGAGGCTGTGCCTAAGAATCTGAAGACGGCAGGAGGGGAGCAGGCATGGGGCTTTCAGAACTGAAGTGGTCCTGACTGCCTGCTGCCTAGAGGAGGGTGGGCACAAGAAGCATGAGGGAAGTGATGGAGAGCCACAAGCAAGTATAAGCAGTAGCGATGCCTAACAAATTTAGGTTTCAACCTTGGGAGAATGGGTCACCCTGAAGGGTTTTAAGTAGGGGAGTGACAGATCCAATTCATAGTTTACAAAGATAAGCTTTTCAAAAAGGCAGTGGGGGCCGGCCCTGTGGCTTAGCGGTTAAGTGCGCGAGCTCCCCTATTGGCGGCCCGGGTTCGAATCCTGGGCGCGCACTGATGCACCACTTGTCTGGCCATGCTGAGGTGACATCCCACATACAGCAACTATAAGGATGTGCAACTATGACATACAACTATCTACTAGGGCTTTGGGGAGAAAAAGGAGGAGGATTGGCAATAGATGTTAGCTCAGAGCCGGTCTTCCTCAGCAAAAAGAGTAGGATTGGCGTGGACGTTAGCTCAGGGCTGATCTTCCTCACAATAAAAAAAAAAAATCATATGTCAAAAAGGCAGAGGTGGGCTTGAAACAGGCAAGACTGGGTGCTGGACTAAGAGCAGGCACTTGCATGTTCTGGTAGGAAACGACGAGAAACGATGAAGGACAGAACTCGGGGATGGGACCTGTAACTAACTGTCTGCTGGCACAGGAGGGGCAGGGGGTCTTGGTGGACTCTCCACCCTTCAACAGCAGCAGGAAGAGCTGACTTGGAGATGGTGAGAAAGGGAAGATGACAGATGACGAGCTTGCTTTTGGACCTGCCAAGCTGAAGAGGCCTCAGGAATGTCCCAGTGCAGGCGTCTACTAAGAAGGTAAAAAAAAAAAGATCTGAAGCTCAAGGGAGAGAGATTAGGCTGCAGATACAGATGCTGGAGGCACCAGTCTGTCTTACACAAGTGGATGAAATCACTCAGCGCAAGCCTGAGGAAAGACTAGCAATAAAAGAGGAAGACGGGGTCCTGGAGAAGCCAGCAGTACAAGCCTAAGCAGAGGAAAAGAAGCCAACCCACAAAGGAAACTGAGGGCCACCAACTAGTTAGTGGGATCAGGGAGGCCATGGAAAGACAGTCTCAGGAGGCGAGTCCAACAGTGGGAGTGCTGCAGAGACATGGAGTACAAGAAGGAGCACATCTATAGCAGCTCCAACTAGAGTCTCAGAGGCAGCTTCGTGAAATAGTCTCGGGGAAGTGTGGGGGTGCAGGCCAACTTCAGGGGATGAGAGAAGACAGATGGGACCAGTATGGAATCTCTGAGGGATGACATGGACAACTCTTTTAATAGCTGGGTCGTAAAAAGAAGAGTGATAGGGAGTTAATGAGAGGACTGTGATTGACAGGGTGATCATGGCTGCTGGCTTAGTGCCTAATGTCCTAGGTCCTCCCTTTGACTCTCAAAAGATAATAAATAATTTGGTCATCGTACGATAGTTGAAATTTAGATTATAACAACAAATATAAGTGATAACTATATGCAGGCATTGAGCCAGATGTTACAGGGACACAAATGACTGAAACTGTCTTTGCAAGGAGCTTAAAACTTATTTAGGGGGTGCATGTGTGGCCTGCCGGAGAAGAACTCCTTTATTTCTGAATATATGGGATTGGCAAACTGTTTCCACAAAAGTCTGGTACAGCAAGGCTCAGGCCTTCTTTTCCCTTGACATAATTTATATTTGTTATAGACAAGGGGAGGTGCCTTAATGAGAAAAGAGAAGCGGTCTCTGGACGCATCCCTGTGGGCCGTCTTGGACAGAAAGTGGAGGCAGGCCACCCCTGGGGAGAATCAGTAATCAGGGTGGTCTGCAGAGCTCGGCCTCCCTTTGTCTAGCCCTCCTATGATGGGGAGAAAGGGCGGGGCAGTGACCTCAGTACTACTCAGACCTGGGGAACAAATCTGAGCGGCTGGGACACAGCTCACCAGCAGAGGGCTAAAGAGCCCTATTTACAGGCAAAATCTGAGTACTGCATATTGTTACCCCAAGTAGAAAATGAAGAGATTTTATTGAAACACTCTTCTGATATCTGCCCCTTGGAATTCTGACAGTCAGTCACTGCTCTACAAAAAGACTTAAATAATTTGAAGTCTGGGAATGTGAAAGGAATTCTCTCACATCTTTGTTTAAAAATTCCCCCAAAACAGGGAATAAAAAACAGATACAAAAAATATAAATATTATGTACATCTACTACAGAGTTATACAGATGTTAAAAGTTATAATACGGGTTCAGAGAACAAGAAGACAATCCTGTCGGAGTGAAGAAGGAAAAAGCCCTCTTCTCAGAGGAGGCCTGAAGCAGGCACAGGCCAGCCAGGGGAGTGACAGCAGGCAGTGAGGACACTGGCGGAGGCACCTGCGGGAGCTACAAGGGGTCATCCATCCAGTTATTGAGCAAATGTCTACTGACCAGATAACATGTACCAGGCAGTAGTCTAGATACTGGAGATACAGAACTGAGGAGACAAAATTTCTGTTTGTTTGTGAATTTGCAAATTTGTGATGAACTCTTGTGATGCATTTCTCACCTGAACTGAATAAGGATGAATATGGATAACACTCTTAGTCTAAATATTCATATGTTTCTCTACAGGAATCCCTGCTGGGGATGTAACATAATATACGGTACATGAACTATGTTATCTATCTAAAATCCAAAAATATTGAAATTCCAAAAGTCATCTGGGCCCAAGAGTTTTGAAAAGAGATTGCAGATAAAAGTTCCAGCGGCTGTCGACTGACCATCTTGAGAGTGAGAATTTGTTGTTGAAAGTCGTGTTTGCTCACTCAGTCATAAACCACGCTGACCACAGAAGGTCAACTTCACCAACAACCTGGTGATAATCCGCCCACTAGCTACGACCTCATGGATTTAGCTTTAATAAGCTCAACCAGTACACAGGCCAGTGCTGAACCACATGGACAGCATTCTCCCTTGTAAATAATTATTTTATAAATAAAAAAGGAGTGATTTTCACAGGTTAAATCTAAAACGCCACGCCTATTCTCCATTGGCCGTGTCATTTCTTCAGGTTGGATGGCTGGTGTGGTGATACCGAAGCTGAGACCTGAACGACAAAAGGGAGTCAGCCCTATGATGATAAGGGACAATTACTGTCTAAGCAAAGAAAAAACACTCTTGAAGAGGCCCTGAGGTAGAAGGATTTGGAAAGTCTAGGCAACAAAAAGACCCCTGTGCTGGAGTGCAGCTGGAGAGAGGCCTGGGGGTGGTGGGCGCAGCACGGCTGCACCGGCAGACTTTACTATAAGTATAATGGGAAGATATTGCAAGGATTTTAAGCAAGATACTGACAGGATCTGATGAAAACTTTAAAAGGATATATCTGGGATATGAACTGTAATCCCATGTGGACACAGTAAAGCATGTGTGTAGAAAAGTAACGGAGTTTAGGGAAAAAAGATCAATTATGGCCATCAGGAGGTAGAAGGTCTCATCTGACTATAATGACTGTGATTTCAGAAAATTAAATTCTTGTGGTCACATAAAATATTAATGTAATGATTTTGGTTTTTAGTTTAGACTTTTGGAATCACTATATTGTTATCACCTAACGTGACCGCTATACAATAAAAATCAAAGGTGTTTAAAGAGGAAACCATTTTATCACCATCTAATAAAAGCATCACACAATACAAACAAAAGGTGATTAAAGCACTTAGTTAAAAGAATGAACATTAACTCAAATCTGTTAACAATTCACCAGTACATCTACATATGTATATATCCAAAAAGAACCTGCGTCTAATGTGAACACGACCATTTCTATATAAGACTACTTCTATATAAAAATGGTAATAGGTAGATTGGTTTTATGTATTCCATACTATTTCTTATAAAGAAACAACTATTTGATCAATCAAAAAGTTTATTGGATTCAGCAAGTAACAGTTATTTTTAAAATATATATTATGAAGTGATTTAAGTGACTTTCATTTGATATCACAAAGATAATACAGGAACTATGTCTGACATCCTTCTGTGGTTCAATTTTCTTTGCTAAATTACTATAATCATCTTATTCCTACACATTTTCCTTCTATCCTTCACCTTTTCAGCATTGATAACTAGGTCTCACATAAAAGTGACCAGATTCCTTAAGCAAATTTTTTTGATGATGGTCACAAGAGCACTGCATAAAACTGTCACTCACAGTCTGTTATATCTATGCAATAAAGGAATATCAGAAGAAGCAAGTACACATTACTAAAATGATCAAATATTAAAGGTGTAATCAATTATTCTCTGGAATTTAAGAATAACTTTAAGCCATTAAGTATTAACAATAAAAAAATGTACTAAATTCCAAACTATCAAAAAAATGGGTTGAAGCTAATAAAAAGCTAAAATCAAACTCATTCTTCAGTAAATATGAGAAAAATGTAAATAAAAAGAAAAGTATTTTAAACATACACTAATTGATAAAAGCACATCTACATTTATTACTCTAGATGCATTAGACTTCCTTCAGAGAACTTCAGTGATGTGAAACCACTTACCTGTTGGAGGCAGGCAGTCTTTCCAATCAAAATAGCCTGCATAAATTCCAGGTTCTAAGGAGCCAACGATGGGATCTGCTTTCAGTTCAATGTAATTTTCAAAGAGTCTTTGGTCTAATTCTTTCAGTGAGGCCATGCTAACCTATAAACACATAATAAAGAATAATTATGAGTTGTCTATTTGAGGGTGAAGGGAAAAGTAAAATAATGTAAATAATAAATATTTCAGTATATTTTAAAAGTACTTACCATTTTCCTACAACAAAACATGATTTTTATCTTATTTATTTTCAGTAATAAAGACCACTCTTAGCATAGCTATTTAACAGGATAAGAATTAATCCCCATATATGCACTATAGGTCATCTTCACAGAAAGTTCAGCCCACATGAACTGTGAGTTTGTAAGTGAGCATAAGTGAGGCCATCTTGTTACATTAAATTGCCCCAGCCCTTCCTCTATATGACTACTCACTGCTCTACACGTACCCTGAAAAAATTCACATGCTCTCCTGATTCACGGCCTCCCCGTACGTATGTACTCCCCAACAGCTTGATAAATTAAAACTCTGTTCTATGAATTTCTCTCCAGGAACAGGCTGACCACAGGCGGGAAACACACCTACAGGGTATCCATCACAGCTGACAGAATAATGGAACAATAAAAGACCCTAGAGTCTGTCATGCCTGAAGGAAACCCCCTCCTTACAGCCCATTTTCCCTATATAACTGCCTCAAGATTCTGTAATCCTGGAAAATGGTTTTTTGAGACATTAGTCTGCCATCTTCCCAGTTATGCTGGCTAATGGAATGAAAACTTCCTTTCTCAATCCCAGCTCGTTGTGATTAACTGGCCCAGGTTACAGCGAGCAGAGCAAGCCCATTGCTTGGTATCAAGTTCCTGCTGGTAGTGGGAGCAGAACAGGGTAAGGAGGTTAGCATCAGTCCGACAAGTCTGTGCCTTGTCTCATTGGCATCCAAGAGGCCAAGAAGTTGCAGAGTGGTGGGGAGAGTCCTAAGTTTGGGAGGGTATGAGAAGTCTGGGGAATAAAGAGTCTGTGGGTCTTGGTGCCTCTGCAGTGGACTGGTGACCCGTCTGCTTCTACACCATTGGCCCACAGGATGCAAGCTTTTCTCCAACACCAGACCTGAGTTTCAACAAGCTGACAATGGAAAACAATCTAAGGGAGTCTAGCAGATATAAACAGGAATATCCGTCAGGCAGTGAAATTCAGCTACGGAAGAGACAAGCAACAACTCAAACTTAGAAAAATAATGAAAACGCTTAAGGAGATTAAAGTACAATACAAAATCAGACTTCATGGAGATAAAACACAGGCTTTCCAAAGCTAACACCTGAGTAGGTCAACTGAAGGAACTACTGGTCACTACTGAGACTGAAATTAAGTGCAATAAGAACTTCCAAGCACAGAGTAAAAACGTAAAGAGGTAGAAATTATGAAGGAAGTGACTTAAAAGATAGATCCAGGAGCTCTAATATGCAAAAAATAGAAATTCAAGTAGAGAAGTATGAGCAGTTAAGAAGAGGTAATAATTAAACAAGCAACAAAAGAAAAATAACCTGGATCTAAATAAAGACCGAGACTGTGATTTGAACAGGCTTGCTGAGTTCCAGGCTAGCCCAATGAGACCCTGCACACATCTAGGCAAACACTGTTAAAGTTCCTAATTTCTAAATAATAAAAAGAGAGAGAAAATCTTTTAAGCTTCCAGAATGAAAAAAGGAGAAAGAATCAGTCTGACATGGGATTTCTCAGACACAACACTGGAACCTGAAATCAGTGGAATATTTTCTATAAGAATAAAGGGAGTGCAACCCAGGAATCCTGTCATTCAGTTAACAGAGCCCAAGAAACCTATTTTTGGATATGCAAGAATTCAGAGTATATCACCCAGGCACTTGAAAAAGGGCTCTAACCTAAAAGCAAACACATCAGCTTGAAGAGGATGAACAATTGAGGAAAACAGTGCTGGGCAATGAACTCTGAGTTCCCTTCTGCACTCCTTCATCCCTTTCTTCCTCTAATATTTAGAAACATAACCCTAAATAGATGACTTGAGAGACTCTGGGAATGTGAAATACAAGTGCTAATTCTTGAAAGAGAGGAGGCATCCAAAAAAAATACTAATAGCAATCTAGAATGACAATGAAAACACATGTCCAAACCTCTGTGATAGAGATAAAGTAGTGGGTTTTATAGCTAAAAATGCATCTATTACAAAGAAGAAAGGTTTAAAAGAGATGCTTAAAATTAATGCTTTAATCTTCTACCTCAGGCAGCTAGAAAGAGAGAAAATTAAACTCAAAGAAAGTAGAAGAAAAAATTAAGGATAGGAGCAGAAATCAATTAAATTTTTAAAAAGATTAATATTAGAGAAAACCACCAATGTCAAAAGTAGGTTATTATAGTTTTATGTCAGTAAGTCTGACAACATAGAAGAAATTGATAAACTCCTAAAACAATGTATCTTTCTAAAAATGGCACAAGTAGTCCTATATGTATGTATTAAACTAACTGAGTCCATTATTTAAAATGCTTTCACATAGTGAAAACTTCAGGCCCAGACAATTTCACTGGTGAATTCTACAAAGCACTTAAGGAAGAAATTGTATCACAGACTTCTTCATAGAATAGAGCCCTGAGAACATTTCCTATTTTGTTTAATGAGGTCAGCAAAACCTTGATACCAAAAACTGACAAGCATATTGCAAGAAAAGAAAACTACAGACCAACAGCCCTCATAAACAAAGACATAAAAATCCTAACAAACTGTTGGCAAATTAAATCTATAAATAAATAAAAAGAATACACTACACAGAAGTGGAAATGAAAATAGATGAAAAAAAGGGACTTGAGAAAAGTTCCCTCTTATAAGGCCCCACTTATACTCAAGATGATACTAGAGGTCCTACTCCACGCAATATAGCAAGAAAAAAATATCAGAAAAGAAGAAGTAAAACTATCTTTTTAAGACATACTATAAAGCTATAATAATATATAATTATAATAATAATAACACAATAATAACTATCAAAATGTAATAGTTAATAAAAGATCACGGACCTGAATATAACAGCTAAAACTACAAAGCCTCTGGGAAAAAATCATTCAGGACACTGTGGCAGGTAAAGATTTTGACTGGATATGAAAGGCATTAAACACTTAAAGAAACTGATAAATTGGGCCGGCCTGGTGGCGCAAGCGGTTAAGTGTGCGCGCTCCAGTGCGGCGGCCTGGGGTTCGCCGGTTTGGATGCCGGGCACACACCGACACACCGCTTGTCAAGCCATGCTGTGGCTGCGTCCCATATAAAGTGGAGGAAGATGGGCACGGATGTTAGCCCAGGGCCAGTCTTCCTCAGCAAAAAAAGAGGAGGATTGGCAGATGTTAGCACAGGGCTGATCTTCCTCACAAAAAAAAAAACAAAACAAAAACAAAGAAAACAAAAAAACTGATAAATTGCATCTCATCAAAATTTACAATTCCTACTTCAAGGATACCATTATAAAAACCAAAGAGCGACCCATAAACTGGGAGAAAAAATTTACACCTGACAAAGGACTTCTACACAGATTTCCAAAAATCACTAATAGAAAGATGAACAACCCAATTAAAAAAGGAGCAAACGAATTGAACAGGTACTTCAAGAAAGAAGATATTTGAACATGAATATATAAATGTATATGAGAAGGTCCTTAACATCATACTTTAACAGAGAAAACCAATGAAAGCAATGAGATTCTCTAAAATAAAAAATAATGATAATATTATGTGGTAGTGAGGATGTGGAGCCACTGGAATACTCACACGCTGCTGGTGAGTGTCAAATGAGACTCTCACTATGGAAAACTATCTGGAGTTTCTAAGCAACTGATCCCACGACCAGTAATTCCACTTCTAGGCATAGAGCCATGATAGGAGAATACAAATGTCCACAGAAAGACTTTTACAGCAATGTTCACAGCAACTTTATTCACAAACACCTAAAACTGGAAACAACCCAAATGCCCATTACCATGAGAATGATTAAACAAACTTTTGTTATCCAAACTCAGCAATAAGAAGATAAATTACTGACACACATGCAAAATGGATAAATCTCAAAAATTATTAAGTTGGAGCAAAAGCAGCCAGACACAAAAGACTACAAACTGCATGGTCCCATTTTACATGAGGTTCAAGAACAGGCAAAACTAATCTATGCTGACAGAAATCAGAGCAGTGGTGAGAGGGGTGCCTACTGACTGGAATGGGGTATGGGGGAAATGTTTTATATCTTGATCTGGGTGGTGGCTACTAGGATGCATTTATGTGGAAAAAGTCAGCCATCTGTACACTTAAGATTTGTGTAATTTACTATTTATATACCTCGATTTTCTAAAAAAAGGTTGAAAATAAATGGGTGAGCAGATAGATACTAGGCAAATAAAACAAAGAGAGAGAAGAACATTAATGTGTGACAAGGCAGGATTAAAGTCAACAGTACTCACCTCATAAATTCTGCTGTGAGAATTTAAAAAGATAATTTGTGAAACTGGTGTAGCACGTTTAAAGTACATAACAAATGCTAGCAGCTATTATTATCATTTCAACTGCTCTATTTTCACTAATGCCCTGTTCACACCAGCTGATGAACACAGGTTACCTGAGTTTGCTTGACCCTACTCGAAATGCAAGGATAAGGTCCATCCATCATTAAAGCACTACCTGATAGTGATGAATGAAAGATAAATAAAAAAAAATCCTGTTATTAAGGAAATCACAGTCAAATAGGGAAGAAAGGCAAGAAAACATTTATAAAACTACATGTTCAAAAAATATGGCTGTTAAAGAAGCAGAGAGGGAGAGAGTGCTTAAGGAGCACTGCTGAGGAGACTGAAAAAGGCTCACAGGGAGGTGACGCCAGAGGGCACGCCATCCTTTTTGGCGAGACATCTCTAATGAAAATAGGGCACCTCTCTTAAGAGAAAAAAAGGGGGGGTGGTGCTAATTCAATATTATGTAATCAGAAATAGAGATACTCACATATTAAATTCCTACATGTTAGAAATTGGGGTACCTTTTAAAGTACTTCAAACAGTTGGTAAAAACTTACAGAGAGACACAATATATTAAGGGGT